GGTATATCACTGTTTGATGAACAAACTGAGTTCACCCATCTGGAAACCTTTCCTTCCAACACACTGTCTCCACACAGCCATGCCCTGACTGCCAACAGCAGTGGCATTAGCCAAGAGCTTCCTTGCATTTATTGGCCTTGCCTTCAGGAAGCATGTCCTGGTTCACAGCTTTAACTTTAACAGTTACAAAGGTGAGAGCTCTTTGTATATTCCGCCGAGATGAGGACTAAAGCATTTCCTTAAGCAGTCTACATCCCACAGCCACAGCACAAATAATCTGGAAGGGCTGAATTCAGCCTCATGTTAAATAAGCATCCTCCCCACACCAACCCAGAAGTCATGGTTAACACATTCTGTGGTCTTTCACTGGGATCTTTTTCAGCTTTTTATAGCATACAGTCAAGAGTCAGCTCCACAGTTGTCCTCCAAAGTCATCATAGATTATGGAAACAGCTCTGCATGTCTACATACAGTTGGTATCTCACCAGTCTGCTCTGCTCTGACTCAAATCAGATGGGCAAAATCTGACCGTTCTGTTTAGTCCCACTCAGTTTCTCCATCTGGGGCCACTGCTCCAGCCCTGTCTGCTGGTGTTGAGGCAGAAACCACTGACTGACACAGAAGGATGAAGCAAGGTCCCCACTTGCAGGCCACTCTTGTCCCCCTGCCACTGTCTGATTTTCCTGCTGTAACTTAAAAGCAATTGTCTGACAAACACCAGCTCATTGAGCAGCAGATGGAAAACTGCAAAGGGCTAAGGGATCACATCCAGCTTCCAGCTGCTAAAAACTTCACATCACCTTCTACTACCTACTTCAGGTCTCCTAAATGAAAAGACAAAAGCTTACAAGGAAAAATGCACAAGTAAATAATTAAATAAATAGCCCAGGAGCCATCCTGTATCAGTCCCTAAAGGGCAGAGCAGCAGGATGCTCTGGCACTTGATCATGTTACCTGCATCACACAGCAACACCTGCTGAGTCAGGATCAGCCTTGACACGTTCAGAACCATCTGCTTCTCCATCCTCCTCTCTGCTTTCCTTTTCTCTCTCTCCCAGGGTATCTTTCCAAAGGAATTGACTAAATCAGTGAATTTCCTTTTAGTTTCCTTCTCCTCTAGGTATTTCCCATGTATTTTTCATGTGCTTCTTCCACTTGGCCTGATTTGTTTAATATCCTCTTCCTTCTTAACTGATCTGTTTCATTCCTCCTAAAAACCAGTTTCCAGCCAGTGTCCAGCTGCACCACACAGACCAAACATGCACATGTAAGGAACCTGCAGTTCCCTCAAGACATCAAGTAGCAATAAATAGGAGGAAAATCCCTTTCCTCCCTGGAACTCCTTTTTCACCCACAGTTTATTTCCATGAGATGCTTCAACCTCAGAAGGGTAAATCCAGCCTGTGGTGCTGAGCAACTGTGACTCACAGTGAATCAGTGGGAGCAGACAGCAGTTGCCTTGTGGTGGAGACCAGGCTTGAACACTGTGTTTACTACTTTAAAATCTGACAGGCTGGTCTGGAAGTAAAAGGAGAAGTGCAGCATTTCCTGAACAACTTTAACACATCTCAGCAAATAATTCCAGGAACAGTATGTCCATAGAAGGGAATTCTACCTTAAAAAGGGAATTTGAAAGGAAGACTGGTTGTAAACAAAAACTCAAACCTGGATTAACTTCAAAGCTTAAAAGGAAAGGGAGTAAAGAACCTGGCAAGACCAGGAGAGATTCTAATCTTGCCTTTCAGGACAATTCCCCCATCTCCTGCTGTTGGCTCTTTGCATATAGAATGATTTGTACCCACTTAAATGTCTTTTTATCCAGGGCAACACAGACAGCAATTCTAAGATGACTAAATCCAATGAATCCAGGTTCTCTCTGACAACTTGGAAAGGAAGATCAAAGACAAACTTATGACAAAGGGCAGGTCAGTGAGGATGGCAGCTCTGAGACCCTGATTTACAGCAGCACAGGGGCTGGCTGTGCCTGTGCAGGTGGGGTGCAGGTTTCCTCACAGGGTTTGGGGTGACCTGTGGAGCTCCCATGTGCTGAATTAGGCAGGTCACTGCCAACAAAGGCCATCTGAACCCTTCTGCCACCCTGTGATGTGGCTTAGATGTGCCAGATGTTTCTCAGAACCGTGGGGCAATTTAGGGTCACTTCAATACATACAACATTTTTCTGTATCAACACATAACCACACAAATTACTTCCTTTGCTACACAGCACAACATCTGCTGTTTTCTTCTGAACTAGCTGGACGGGCACAATTTTTGATAGTTGGACTAAATGATTAATCTGCAAAAGCCAAAGTCATGTTCCCAGGAGCAACTACTGACATTTCAGCCAGGAGAGAGTTAAACTGAAAGGAAGAAACAATTTGGCTGACGATGCCCAAGAAGTTACTTGCTGACATAAAAATCAGACCATTAGCTTATTCTATGCATTTCAAGTTCAGAATTAATCTTTTTCTTTTTAAGATGGGGATTCTAATTTCCAAAGGTGTTTTCACCCTTAGTTGCCATTGTGTTAAAACTGCCCAACTGTTGTTCACATGCTCTTAATTAAGGCTGGTGTCAGCACTTCCATTACAAACCTCTGCCTTTTTGGAGTTTATGACTCAGCCATAAAACTTTGCTCTAGGGTGAAATTTATCATGGAAGGGTCTGCCTGGAAGGAATCCATTCTTTTGTATTTTAGAGTCCCAAAAGCTTATAGTAAGAAACCAGGGGTTTTATTCTAAAGCCTGGCATACAAAAACCTTCAGCTGTCTTTCATAGGAGTGCTGGCTGAGATGTGCCTTCTAGATGCTCACTGATCAGGGTGGGGTTTTGAATTCTTAACACTGTACTTTTTAGGGATTATGGGGATTTATGCTTCAAGGCCAAAGTCTGTGCCTACTTAAATACAAAGTGAACACCTCTGCCCTCACTTGCTCCCCAATGGAGCATGAATCAGCACAGAATTCCCCACCTTTCACTCCCTGCTGCCTTCCCTGAGCCTTATGGGGATGCCAAGACTTCATTCCTACTCCAGCACTTGGTTAAATACCGACACTGTTGTCCCCCCAGGGTGCACAGGTTAGGCTGTAACCTTCACACACCAGTGGTGCCAACACAACAGTTCAAACTGTCCTCAGGCTGAGGGAGGTAGGAGTAGGTCTGTGTCAATGGGTTAAAACACCAGAGAGTCTTCATGCTCCACTCCCTTGCTGCCCATTCTCATGCCACAGGCTGGGGCTTTGGGTTTGGGTTTTGTTCTGCCCACAGAACAGGGGCAGAACTTGTCAGCACAGCATTTGTAGGGCAGGTGATGGAGATGGACATGAATTCTGATACTCTCTCCTCCTGTCCCTGAAGCTTATACTTACAAAAGCTTCTGAGGTTTGCAGCTACAGCAGAGAAATGCCCACACCAGCCCCAGCACTGATGGGTAGGTCTCTCTCTATGCTCTTAAACAGTTTTCTCCTGAGCAAACACTCCACTTGCTGCCCCGAGTCCAACGCACATTAAGTCTTGTCACAAAAGTCATCAGATAAAACTATTTGCACTGTGGCCAGACAATGTGATCTCTGCAGAGTATTAATTGTTCCTTAAATGTTTGTGGAGTGGCCAGCATGCAGCAAGCACCTCCACAACTGACAGCAGTAGCAGCAGTGGTAGTGTCAGTATTTTCCTACTTTTTTCAATCTCTCATTGAACAAGAAGTTGACACAAAGCATCAGAAACTGCTTTTAGCCAAACAAAGCAGTTATGAGTGCACTCCTGTTTGCAGCAGATCCAACGGACTGGATCCTGATTTCTCCAGTAACCACACATGTACGGAGCACATCCAGAGCCAGGACTACTCTGCACCCCATCTACCTCCTGTTCCATGTTCTCCAAGAAGTTTCCCAGCTGCACATTCATTTTTCCTGTTTGAGAAAAGCAGCAGAACCTGCCAGGCTACCTCGTTCAGATGTGACAACTGAGTATAAAAGTGAAATTTCAAAATTCCAGTTCCATTTTTCCAGTGCAGAAGTAAATTCCCACAGCTCTGTTTTTAAAGGATTAGAGAAGTTTATGGCTACCAGCAACATGTAAAGAAAATGCAGAATGCTCAGGGTATCAACTGGCCCAGAGGTCACAAAGGAATATTCATGTTTGTAACCAGGTATTTTCGATTTATTAATTTCTACCATCTCAGGGTATCTGTTACTGCAGGAAACCAGACTTTAAAACCAATATACCACACTGGTTTGGCAATCCTTCTCACAATTCAGGCTTTGCAAAACACTTGTCATTTTTTGGATGCCAACTTCTTCTCAAGCTGATTGTACTGCCCTGCACTTTTGCAGCTGTAGTTCTCCCCCATCCACACTTCATATTCCAAAATGCAGAGTCCCATTGGTTCCAGAACTTCATACTTCAACTCTGCAGTCAGGCACCTCCAAGTTTCTGCAGGACCAGGGTGTCTCAGTGGTACCATATTATCTAAAACATCTGTCACCCAGTGGTTCTTGCCACAGCAGGCACAGGCCCTCTTTTTAGGGCAGCACTGCTTGAAGTTTGCAAAGCACATCCCTGCAGCCCCTGAGCAATTCAGGAGCATCAGCTGGTCTGGCCTTCAATGAGCCTTTTGTGCAAAGAATCACTTTTGCAAATGAGATGCAGACTCCCATGTCTCACATGTCAGGAAATAAGATCTGGCCCACCCCAACCTTGCATTCTTTCAAAAAGGGACCAGCATAAACATATCAAAACCAAGAATGGGCTCTCATTACAACTCTAATCAATACTCTCTTCCAACATAAAAGAACCTTCCCCCCCTCTCCCCCAAAGACAACTTTCCCCAAAATAAAAACTAAAGAAAGGGTGGTAAGGGAAGAAAGAGGAACAAAGGAGGAAGAAAACAACCCACAGCACTGACAGAAATGTTAATTTACATCTAATAGCATCCATATGCCATGAACATATCATAAACTCTTAGCCTACCATACAGAGAGGATGCCCCAAAATGGTACCTGCAAGAGGTCTCTCGGAAGGAGATGTTTAAATCCCAGTGGGTGTGTATCCTGTTAACAAACAAACAGAGAGGTCAATGGCACAGGCTGAATGCTGCATCTCCTGCCACTTAAAAGAGCTGCTCCATCATGACAACCCACCCAAGGTTCTCTTAAACTCTCTCTCCCAAGCTCTCACCCACAACTAGAGCACCCTGCTGGGCTGGGGGTGCTGCACACACATGCCAGTCCTGAGCAGGACTCACTCTGCTGCCAGTGCTGTACAGCAGCCAGAGAACTTCTCTGTGCTGCCTGCAGTCTCCCTGGTAGGTGCAAGGACTGCAGGATGTTGTCTCAACTAATAGGGTATGTTCAGAGGAAGCAGAAAGAGCTAAGCATTGACATTCTATGAAGAAAACCCATGTATGTCTGTGCTGTGTTCCCTCCTCCACGCCCGCCCCAGCTGTAAATAAACTATCAGCAATTTCCCACCTCGGAAATTAATTCCACATATTCTGTCACTGCCTGCTGACAAGCAGGAATAGCAGATTTCAGATGAACAATATCCTAAATGATATTAGGGGGGGGTTGGGTTGTTGTTGGTTGCCCCCCACCCCCCTGTTGCTAATACACATCATCTACACCAACCCAGAGGGTAAAGGCAGACGCTTGACCTTCTGAAGTCTGGCGTGTCCCCTCCATCCCAGGGAGCACTGATCTGCCCCTCACCCAGAGGAGGTCTGTGACCACCACTGTGTCTCCACGTCAACGTGATTGATGAGAACCCCAGCCACTTGAGACCAAACTCTCAAGCAAGCCCATATCCTTGTACAAACCCACTCCCCCACCTCAGCATCTGCCAGTGAACACTCTGGCTCCTGGCTGTGTGTAGGAATCAGCTCCTGCAGATCTAGGTTCCCAAAAGCATTAAACAGAAATGGCTGCAAAAATCACAAGTAACAGAGGCCAAATGCACTTTTGCATATTTTGTGCACCCCCTACAGCCCCCCTGTAGCTAAAGACCATCTGACTGCAGAAAAAGCCTGATCTAAAACCTCCTGAAGCAAAACAGAGCCCTTCTTTTGATTTGAATTGGGCCAGAAAATGCTTAAGCATGACCAGAGAAGTCAATAGGACTTGACTCAGGTTTGAGTGTCTGTTTAAGTGCTTTCCTGAATGGATGCCCCTGCTCCAGCCTGCTCAGAAATCAACTGAAAACAACTCTCAGCACGGAAATAATTTCACATCAAGGCATGATGCTACTGCAAGTTTTACTAATGTGATGGCACATCTTCTGTGCTCTCCTTGCAAGGCTGGCTCAGGATGGGAGTCTGGTTGCTCTCCAGGTAGTTCTTTTAGAAGACTGTTAAGACTTGAGTAGATATTAATTTCTGCCAATAAAGTAACAGGCATCCATCTAGTGTACTACCTGGCAGGTAAAAAGTGTTCTTGATGCAGCACTCTGAAAGCTGGGCTGCAACATTCCCTTCATCCTAATGCAGCTCATTCCAAAGATCCCATCCCCACTGGGAATTGCCATCACTTGCACAGAAATCAGAGCAGGAGCTTCCCTGGGCTCCTGGCTCCATACTTGGGGTTCAGGCTGTGAGTTAAGCTCTTAGCCTTCCATAAAATGCAACTTCTCCATGGTCTCTTGCAGCTGCTGCCAGGGGTAGGTGGCAGCTGGTGATCCTCAGTGCCAGATGAAGGCAAGACTGGAGGAGGCTCAACTCAGCCACACGTCCAAGTGCAGGAACAGGGCAGCAGGGAGTTGTAAGTAGGGGGAGGGAAAACCTCCTAGCAAAGGAGCAGCTCAGATCCACATAGAGGCAGAGACATCTATCTGCTGAGATGGATAATTAAACACCCATATTTAGACAAATGAATAGGTGAGAATGAAATTAAATCCTAATTATCTTTTTTTCTGGGGGGGAAGGGAGAGGGATAGGGAGCAGAACCAAGGATTCATTCCATATCTCTCTGCTGTTATCACCAATTAGATTTCTGAGGCTAATGTACATCTTGCTTTAACAGGTTATTCATCCAACTGAAATCAAATCACTAATAATTTTCAAACTATCAGGTACACAAGCCCGTCCTGGGTTGGATGAAGAGTAGTGAGCAGGAGCCAGGCCCTTACAAATTAGTAACAGAAAAGGAGGGGGAAAAAAAACCCAACACAGAGCCAAGCAAGGAAAAGGTGCTGCTGTCTCACCCACCCAAGGCCCCTGACACAGTGTGGTCAGTCAGAAGATGTTCAGTAACAATGACCAGATGGGCCCTACAGCACCAGGAGGAGACAGGTTCCCTGCACAGCTCTGGCTGAGGGGTACACAGGCTGGGGCAACTAACCAACTGCTGCAGAGGCACCTCAGCAAGGAGGGACTAGGACATCAGGGTTTGGTTTGTGCAAAGAACAAAGTTGCTCATATGTGTATTTGAACAACAACAAGAACTCAAAGGAAGGGCTGAGGCTGTTCAGGGTATCACTGAAGCCTGGAGGGGAATGAGAACCCAGCCCAGAAAGAACAGAGTTGGCAAAATATTGGAGAGCAGCTGGGACAGTTTTTAATTTAAAGTTGTTTTTTGTCTTCCCTGTTGTTTCTTTTTTACCCTAGCAGTCCCTGCAAGCTTCCAGCACCAGCATGCCAACCATGGAAGAGGCCAACAGAGTGAGTCAGGCATCCCCCTAACGTCTGGTCCCTCCAGGGGCAGTGACACCCTCATCCTGCAGCTAAGCCTCTGCTGCTCCCAACCTGCTCCTCCTGCCCCCAACCTGCTCCTCCTGCCCCCAACCTGCTTCTGCTGCTCCATCCAGTTTGCTCCACCATCCTGGGTGCACACAGCAGCACCAACACACTTGTCATGGAAGTGTGGAGGGAGAACACTGGGCAGCATCCAGCTACAGGAGCAGGTCATTACTGCCAGAAGGAGAAGCCATCACAGGCAAAAGGGTGGATTAAGGACTTCTGTTCAACTGGCACAGCCCAACACCACCAGAGTCACTGGGAACTCAGCACGCCCTGGGTCAGGCCCCATGTGCCACCATTGTGCATGGAAACACAGGCCACTGAGGCCCATGCAGTGCAAACCCCAGCACTGCAGCTTGGGGAGATCTTTTTGCAGGTGCCATTATGCAGGCTGCTTGGCTGGGTGGCACCTCTCTTCACTTCCACACTCTCCCTCTAGCCATGTCAAGCTGTTTTCAGGCAGTCAGCATGAAGAAGCTCATGCAGGCACTGAGCAGGGGTAGGCTCCTCCAGAAAACCTCATACATGGTGCTGGGAAGAATGGCCTCAAGATTGCAGCAAGACTGAGATTTGCTGGAGGGGGGCTGGGGGCATCTGGGTTATTCTCCACCATGGAATTGATGTTGTAAGGTCAGATATCAAGGAGATACAGAGAGCAGCCAAGAACACCTGCAAGTCAAGATTGAATTTGCTCTCATTCTCACACTTCACCTTTCTTCCCAGTCTCCCATCTCCTTCCTGGGCAAGAAGGGATTTCTTGCTGTTTATTATATTTTACCCTGCATTATCCCTGTGAAATAAGTAGCCATTTTCTCTCTCTGTCCCCCCTCAAATATTTGTACTCATTAAGTCAATGACATGCTTCCTGGCACTCTGGACCAAGTCCAGCCTTTGTTTCCCAGAGGGATCTTTAATACATTTATTGGAGGCAGTGACTGTTATTAAGTGGTACATGTTTCAGAGAAAAAGGGGAAGGAGGGAGGAAAGAGGAAGAAGCGAAAATAAAGGGTTGCAGAGACCAGAAGAAAGGACTGAAGTGGAAGCTGTGAAAGAAGAGGGTCATAAAGCAGCAAAATGTGTCTCTAGTCACAAGAGGGGCCCTGCCTCTCTCCTCCTCTTCCTCCTGGAAGAGTCTCTCAGCTCAGACATCCTCTCGCTTTGGCAGCAGGTACAAAGCAAAGCTGTGTGGCACATCCACTGAGCTGCACCAGGAGCAGGGATGTCACACAGCCCAGGGTGTTTGGGAGAGGCCAAGGAGGAGCAGGAAGGAAAAGGCCATGGAGTGGACACTGCACATCAGCTTGGGACCCCACAGCTTGGAATTCCCAGAAGGAGCATGTGACAATTATAATGAGGGGTGCTTGGGTTTGATCTTCAATCAGTTGGGGAGTCAAAGAGCAGCAGCTTTATGGGATGTAAGAAACAGGTTTCATCTTAGAAAGGCAGGCAGTGGACAGGCTGACAGCCACCAGCCACTCAGGCTTCCTTTGCTACTAGGAAATGGACACTGAGTGAGGAGGATGTTGTCCAGCTGGTCTGAGAGGTGACAGATGCTGAGGGACACAGGAGAGCTCTTGTCCCTGTCTGGACTCTATCCATGTTCATGGGGCAAGGAGACAGTGTCACTCCATACTTCCACCAAGCACCTTCACTTCAAATGCTCTCCTCTGGTGTGAAGTAACACTAACCCCACGCCAGGCACCAGGGTCATCCTGCTTTTTTCCCCACGCCGGGCGCGAGGGTCATCGTGCTGAAACAGCCACAGAAGATTTGGGGTATGTGGGGGGAGTGACATAATAAAGAAGAAAAGATTTAAAGGCAGAATGAGGTTCTCCAGAAATCTGCTTCTCAGTGCACAGACATCCTGTTCCAGGACAACTTTTGTCATTTCTCCTCAAAATGGCTTTTATTTCAGAGCAATATTTGGCAAGGAACACAGGCCTGTTGTGTGCTCTCATTGCACAATCTGCTCCTACTTTTGCTCCCAATCCTCTTTTTTTTAATTTAATAACAGAATTTCAAAGGCATTTTCACCACAGGTGTCCATTTTCACCTACCATGCCCACTGCTCAGTCCTGTGTCCATGTTTACTGATACCCCATTAGGTTTCCTTCAGAGACAGGTCAAGTCAAAAGCTTTCACCACTTTAAGCAGGTCCTTAAGCATTACTGCCTCTTACAATCAGCCCTGCCATCTCATTTTGATGGGGACTTAGACACACTGAGCAGTTCCTAACCTATCATGTTAAATCTCAGACCTCTTCTCTTTCTCTCCCCTCCCACACAAATGAAAAAGGGCATTTTTAAAATAGAAATTAAATCCACACACCCAAAAGACAATGTTGGGCTTAAATCCAACAGCATGTGAGGACCTTACTCTCAAAGCTGAACCTTACTCTCTGCCTACACTGGCTTCCCTCTGTTGGGAGATTCTTGGGATAACCTAAAGGAGATGCTCCAAGGCAGTTTGAACCTCAGTGTGAAAAGCTGCTCCTGAGGTGACACCTTCATCAGTGTTCCATTGAGTGTAAGGAAGTTAATGCTCCCCAAACTATTGCAGAGCAGTGGAATTTGTAGCCTCAAACTTCCTCTGCATTTCTTATTTTGTGTCTAGGATAAACCAGAGAGCAGTTAACAAACAAGCAGACTGGCAGAACTGTCAGCTTGCTGGGGAGAGGCAGCTTAGTTTGTGAGAAAGGAAAAAGGCTTCATGAAGCCAAAGTTCCAACGTGAAGTCTGCTCTGCATAGTTCCTGCACCAGTTCAACTATGCCAGGGCTAATGTCACCAGAATAACTGCACAGGGACATAGGTGCACAGGTATGGAAGTGCCCTACACTGATGCCATTCTTTTCCCTAGATAAGAACAACTCTTTTCATGGCCAGACAAGGGTCCTCACCAGGAGTAAGTGCAACTTGACCAAACCATCCCCACTCAGGCAACACAACCGTGCCATGCAGGCCGTGCTGTAACAGAGCAAGGTTTTTCAGGAACCCAAAATCTGATCAAAGGAAAAGGATTTGCTGTGTGCTGTCCCAGTAATCTGCAGGGCTGAGGGCTCACAGTCTGGGTATCAAGCTACGGGTATCAAGCTCAGCAGATGCTCCTGGTTACATGAGACAAGATTTTAAGCCCTCTGTGTTCCAGACAGGAGGCACAACACAAAGGCTACTTAGCACACCCTGCAAAGCAGGTTAAGGAGGACTCAGGGGGTCTCACTAGGAGATGAAGATATTCACCTTTAAACTTGGGTCACCTGGATTTCAGAGCAGATGAGCCAAGCTCAATTCAGTGGGAGGCTTGGTCTCCTTGACTTAATTACCTTTGTGCAAGGCCGTGAGGTGACACCCTTTTGCAAGGAGCTGGTTGTGAAACAAGTTGGCATGCACTGAAATGCACCAATGTCAGTGGTAGTTACAGGTCTCTGCTCCTTTCTAAGACAGCAGGAGCATCATGAGGCAGGTTTTCTCTGCCTCAGACCTCCTCTGAAGGCCATCACCATGGGCAACTGCCTCAGAGTACAGAAGAAATCACTGTCAAAGCCTAGGGTGAGGGACTAGCCAAGAAACTAAGCTCCTGTTCCTATTATTACCTAGAAAGGCTGGACCAGATGATCCTTGAGGTCGCTTCCAACTTGGCATTCTATGTTTCTATTCTAATCCCTAGAGACTTTTCTTCACTAATGCCCAGACCTCGAGGTGGTAGAAAGCATTTCCTTGGGCCACTAGTGGCAGGAAACAAGTCACTATACAGAAATTGAGAATAGGAGGAAGAAGAGAAGGCACCAATTTCAAAGCAACAATGCAGGTGTTTATAATGGTAAGTGTAGTGTGCACAAGGGCCATCCAGGGGTGCAAGAGGAAAACACAGGTTTGCTCAGGCCCTGACCTTGTTTTCCTACTATCACAGTTTAACCTATTTCTTCCTCTCAGTGGGAGACAATAAAACCTCAGCCCAATCCATCACCAATGGGGGGGGATACAACAGGTGAATTAGAAGCAGAAAGCAGATGGGGCACTGTCTCTGCTGGGCCCCAGCTGTCATGTCTGTGAGCTGTCTAGCCTTTATGATGCTGCTGCTGTCCCTGGAGCCCGTCCTGTCACACCTTCCACCCCAGTCCCTGGGCTGCTAATGACATTGGGAACAGAGCCAGAGGCTGCTGCCTCCAGCAGGGCTGGGCAGGAGGGGGTCAGGTCAGTTGCCATTCACTGCTCCTGAGAAGGTGGAAATAGCCAGTCCTCCTCCTCTTTGGGACAGAGGGGTTGGGGGACAAAATGCTTGGAAATGCTGAGGGATTTGAGCAGTAGATATTTCTTGCCTGGACATGGAACACTGAATTACATTCTCTTTTTTTCTGTTATTCCTGCACCCATCAGAGTACTGCCTGGCCTGCTTGCTCCAGCTGTTCCAGCTTCCTCCCCACACTGTATCAGAGCTCCCAGGAAAATGAAAAGGAGAACAACTGTACAAAAGCAGTGGGAGTCTAACCCACCTGGTAAGGATCATAAAACTTCTCTAAAGAATCAAGACAAAACCTAAACAAGAGACCTTCAGACAAACTGATTGAAAAGTACTGAAGAGCACAGAAATGAGAGGCTGGGGGACCACTGGCTAATAACTACTAAGCATTTTTTCTTCATTTCCTAAACAACAAGGCAAAGCAATTACTGTAATTAAAGATTTAAGATAAGAGCACTTTATATTTGGGGGGGCCCAGCGTATCAATTACATAGTTATCATGTTGTTTTCCCTCCTAACGAGACAATCTAGCACTATTATTTTGCAGAATTAAAAGCATAATTAAGGGGGGCAGGAGAAGAAGGGCAGTTTAACAAAACTGAGGAGGAGGGTTCCCTCTCCTCTGTGGCTCCTGTGTGCATGCACAGTGCAGACACATTCCCCAAACACCTTTTCATTTCCAAGTGATAACCCTTGAGCATGGCTGTTGGACAGCTGCAATGATAAACCCAGGCTTTAATTACAGGCAGGTTTTATGAGAAGAGCTGGTTACTGTTTTGCCTCCCTACTTTGAAGCTCTCAGCTGTTTGAATGCACCAGCATCTGCTGGAAGGTAAGGAGGGAAATAGCTCATCTGACTAAGGAGCAAGAAATACATAAAACAGAAGAAAAGCAATTACATGCCTTTGGCTTCTGCTCCTCTGTTTTTATAGGGCTTGTCTTAGAATCTGAGTGATTTTATGCATCAGAGGAAGATGACAATCAAGATGAGTTGCAATGATATGCATGGGAGGCTGAGACACACTGCCTGTAGGTATTTATTTTCCTGTAGTTACAGGTCTTTCCCCTTTTACTCGGCTCTCGTGAGACCCCACCTGGAGCACTGTGTCCAGTTCTGGAGCCCCCAACAAGGGAAGAACATGGAGCTCCTGGAGGGAGTCCAGAGAAGGGCCACAAAGATGATCCAAGGGCTGGAGCAGCTCTGCTCTGGAGACAGGCTGGGAGAGTTGGGGTGTTCATCCTGGAGTAGAGAAGGCTCCAGGGAGACCTCAGAGCAGCTTCCAGTGCCTGAAGGGGCTCCAGGAAAGCTGGGGAGGGGCTTGGGACAAGGGCAGGGAGGGAGAGGACAAGGGGGAAGGGATTAAAACTGGAAGAGGGGAGATTTAGGTGAAACCTTAGAAGGAAATTCTTGAGTGTGAGGGCAGGTGAGACCGTGGCCCAGGCTGCCCAGAGAAGCTGTGGCTGCCCCATCCCTGGCAGTGTTGAAGGGCAGGTTGGATGGGGCTTGGAGCAGCCTGGGCTGGTGGGAGGTGTCCCTGCCCATGCAGGGGGGCTGGAACTAGATGATCTTTAAGGTCACTTCCAACCCAAACCAATTAAAAAATATAGTATATTTTTAAAAAAATCTTCTAAATATCATCTTTTTCCAGAGGGATGAAAGAACTCAGAATTTTGCAGCTGAATGTTACAGGCATCAAGACCATCCATGAGAGCCCAAGTGACAGTGACCAGAATGTAACTCCAGACAATCCCTTCTCCTCTTCCTTTAACCCTGCACAATTCCAGAAGGAATGTGCATAGTACTGAGAAAGCCATGATCAAAATCTGTTAAGTGCTGAGGTAATTCCCAGTATCTGAGTGATTCTTTGCCTACTTAAACTCCCTTACTCCTGCTTCCAGAGGCCCTCAGGATCAGCCAGACATGGCTGTGCCCTTTGACACTTGTAATCAAGAACATGCAACAACCACGTCTGCTACCTCCTTCCCAAACTTTGTTCCCCAACATTAAATTATCCAGTTTATATTACATCAGACTTTGGGGACAACTGAAAGCAACAGGCAGGATTTTGGACCCCTACACCTCTGTGTATTTTCAGACAGCTAAGCAGAGGGTTCACAGATGACTTCTCAGTCATGCAATGGCCTCACCAGGCACAAGGACACAGTATGCTGGACAGAGGGTGACACAGTCACCCTGACTTACAGTCTGCAAATACCTTAGTGCAAACACAAGCCCGTGGCTCAAGGCCCCACAGAGCCCAACTGGTCCCAAACAGGAATGAGTAAGCAGGAAAGAGGACCCATGACTCCTGCTGAGCTATAATGTGACATTTGCACCTTAATGTCAGGCCCTGGAGGTGACTCCATCGGGCAGCCTGGGGTCCCCAAGGGCTGGTCACCTGCTGCCCAGCTTTCTCTGTCCTTGCCCTTGCAATGCTGTACTCCCTGGCAGGAACGTACCTTCTTTTCATGATACTGATGTGGAAATCCTCCTCCTGCTTTACTTCAGGGTGTTGACCATTGCTCTTATCACTCTCTTCGCTGTCGTCACTATGGGAGAAGATGGAGGTGAGCTCTTTCTTTGGGATCCTGGTTGGAGGCAGGGGGATGGTCCTCTTCTCTGCCAGGCGACCCCGGTTCTGGCACAGGATGGAATCGGTTGGAATGGGAAAGGGCAGGAAGAGAAGACAAGAAAACATGGATATGGTTAGTCAACCCAGAAGGCAGCAGCTCCTCTCAGGTGTCTCCCTGTGAAGGCAATGCTGTCAGTCACTGCAGGCTTCAGGCTGCTGTGTTGGGTGGACAAAGACTTTGTTCATTTTGCAGAAGCCTTTCTCAGCAGAGGCATATCTGTATCTACTTCTTCCAGTTCTAATACCCAATTCATGTACTTCCAGCCTCTCCCCACCTCTTCATTCCTAGCCTGCATCTGATCCACACCCACAGGAAAAGCAAATGGCAGCAGAATTAGGCACCAGCCTCTCTCTGCAGAGTATTTCCTACTGAACGTTGCACATTAACACAGCAGAATAGGCTAAATTAAACCTTTGCCAGTAGCCCAGGGAAGACATGATCCAGACAATCCAGAACACTTTAGGTTGCAAAGGGAAAACTGCCTATGCCAGCCAGCAACAGGTTTGTCTCTCACACCAGTGAAGAGGCCACAACAATCTCAACCTGATTTACTGAGGCTACTTTTCCCTGTTAATTTGCATGTTCAGATGAAGCTAACAGGTCCTGCCTTGTGCAGACATTCCCTAGGTGGTCCTGGCAGTGCACATCCCTCAACAACTCACTCTGACAAAACACAAATAAACAGGAGGAAAATTCCCAGGAGGCAAAAGCTGCTTTTTCACTGCACGTGTGTTTGTGTACAGAACCCAGCACAGCACGACCCTGCTCCCAGCCTCCTCTCCTCTGCAAGCAGTGACAATGTGTTAGAGATTACTCTGTCCCTGCAGCCTTTGTGCCTGAGACACAAGAAGACAAGAGCCCAGTACAGCCCAAGAGAGGGTCTGTTGGGTTTTTAGCTCTCCCTGTCATAGATGCTTCCAGCACTTGGAGGGTTTAGCTCCGTCTGTGCCTGACCAAGTCAGACAGCAGGAACACAAGCACTTTGAGTGATTTACACTGGAAACCCAGGGAGACTGGAAAGGCATTGCCCCATGGAGCTGAACCTTTCAGCAAACAAACCCATGGAACTGGGAAGGGAACCACAGTGAGGGGAGGTGAAGCACACAGCTCCATGCAAGTTCTTTGTACAGGTAGGTAGGAACACTTCTTGCAATAGGACAAGTCACAGAAAAGATAAATGTTTTAAGCAAGGAAGGGAACAAAAGGAAGAAAAGTGTGTGAAATGGGTCAAAAAAGTGCAGAGTAATATCCAACTAAGAGCAGTGCCTCTGAAACATTGACTCCAACTTTCCAAATAAACCTGGCAAAATCAAAATGTCCTGGGAGAGCCCATCAGGCTCTGCAGGGGAGAACGGAGCACGACTGAGCCATAGGAGAGCCCAGGCTTTTTTTAATTAAACACATTAAGAACATTCCACAAATACAAACCAGAAACTTCTTGTTTACCTCAATCAATAAATTCCAGTTGTGGTCATCATCAAGGGGAGCCCTAATTTTTATGCTAATTAGCTAAATCCATCTGGAAGGCATCACCCCACATTTGTTTTCCTACCCTGATGCGCTCCCAAGCCAAGAGCACATCTGCCTGTGATGAGCAGCCACTCACAGGAGAGGTTGAGCAGTGGGCCAAGCTGGCTTAAAAATGGTAAGACACGTGTGTACAAGGAAAAAGAGACACACTTTCTTCTTGAGAGGGACATAAAGAAGAAAAAACATGGGCAGCAACAAAGCCAATGCTCCTGCATGTCTGAGTATGGCAAGTACAAACCTTGGATCAAGTTGCAACAGGCTCTGGAGTGAGTCCAAATGCCCAGGCTCGGCCACAGGAGAATGAATGTTGCTGGGGGCTCTCAGACCCACCTGCACAAGGTGGATTGCTCTGGTGTGAGGGGCCAACTGCATCTGTTGTGACAAACAGCCAGAGCTTTCCCTCAGCCCCCTGGGCTCCCCTACACAGCCAGAGGGATCTGCTCACACAGCCCTTCGCAAAGAGGTTTCTCACTGTCTGTTCCCTGCAGGAACCTGCAACACAAACCATGCATCTCCTACCCTTAGAAACTTCTTCTGTGCTAGGTGCATTTCCAGCCCTGCCCCCTTCCTGCTCCAGCACACACAGAGCAGGGGCAAAGAGCTCCAAGCCTCTCGGTACCTCCAGCAGAGCCAAAAGGGCAGGAGGGGGAAGAGGAGAGAAAGGGAAAAGGGAAGGGAAGGAAAAGCAAGGAGGGCAGTGTTTGCACCAGATCTCTGTCACACTGAGAAGCCAGGACTTGATATCAGCCTGGGCTTTATCATGCCAAAGCTTTCTCTGTTTTTCTGAAGTTGCAGTTCATCTTAACAAGAAAGGGGGAGGAGGGGGGAGTGTGCAAATTTCCGCTCCAAAATAATTGCAATTCACTCTCTGCTGTGACTTCTCAGGCTAAAGAGAACAGCACTGATCAGATACTAAAAATCATTTTATGGCCATTATGGCACCTCTGAGCAGTTACCAGGTCTCGGTGACTGCCCAGGGACTCATCAGCCCTAACAAGAGTGAAAGTGCAGCAAAAAGGGAGGCACTAAACTTGAGAGAAACAGCCCCCCCAGACCAGGAACACAGGTTCCCCCCTTCCCCTGCTGTTCAGAATGGTTCTTTGCCCTTCTGTAAATTACATTTTCACACCTAAACCTGGTGCACTTATATACAACTATGTGTATGCCTAATATATATATATATGTAATATACAATTATGTATATTCCTGCCTATATAGATACCACCCAACACCCAGAGAGCTGGTGGTTCCAGGGCCCTTGCAAACACCCACATGCCAGCACTAGCAACATCTTTATTTGAAGTTGTGTTTACTTTGTGTTTTTGCCATTAGGTTTGGGGCCTTTTATTTTACTTTTTTATTATCTTTCTCCTTTCCCAGAAAATTAAAATAGACTGAGCCAATCAATTCTGTGTTTTATGCTCATCTATAGTCACTTTTGAATCAATTGCACTTTCTTAATCTGTTTAGAGGCATTCACCAATAGATAGACATTATTTTTAAATCAACCACAAACGTAGCCAGAAGCCTGGTCCAGAAGCTGCTATAATCAATTGTCTTTCCATTGACTTGGAAGGGCACTGGTCCAAGCTGCAAATAAAAACCACTCCTTTCTGAGACACATTCCATCCCAGGGATCATTCCTGTGACTTCTGGCTTTTGCTAAAGTCCTTTGCCAGTTGTACAGACAGTTTATAGGACAGGGCTGTACCTACAGAGCTGAGCAGTATATTGAGGTACCTATCATTACTCAGACTCAGGGTTATCAACTATCACTTGCCAGGTAATAAAGTGTGAACTTAGTAGAGTGGTGTTATAGGCAAGAATACACCCAGAGACTGCAGTGGCAACAACATGTATAGGGAGGTACATAAGGATTTCTACATATTTGAGCTGTAGGTACTTTAGATATGATAAACCTCATAACCTGGCATTAAAAAGGCTTGTATTTGTCTGGCAGTGTCACTGAAGAGTGATCTTACACATTAATGGGATGCTGATGTTGAACCACGTAAGGAAGTATGAATATTTTTAAGAAAACTGCCTCCCAAATTGTTGCCAACAGACACTGGGGGGTCTGATGCTTGGGGAAAGAATCAACAGTCACCTATTGAAGAGCATGAGGCTTCCTGGGCCTCTGGCTCCCCCCTGTTAAATAACTCATGTCACACAGGTGAAGAGAGGGGAAGGTGTGCATGGACAGCTGGCTTGCTGAACCCAGCAGGCAGTGGGTCAGGAGGAGCATTTTGGGCCGCCAGCTGTCAGTGCAGGTGCAGAAGGACAGGGCATCCCAAGTGGTGAATACATCTCAGAGCTCAGCCCAGCAAAGCCAGGCTGCCTGCCTGCCAGCTCCCTGCCCCAGGGAGGGAGGCAGGAGGAGGTGTAAGGAACAGGTTGACCCCTGGGAGCTGGGGGAACATGTCCCACCGAGGACTTGCTCTGTGGGTGAAGCCCAGCCAGGCAGGAGGCTGCTGCAGTCACTGCAGAGCTGCTCACCCCTGCCCTGCAGGGAAACCTCCAGCAGCCTCTGTGCCTGAGAGGAGTCAGGGCTGTTTGCTGCCAGCACCAACACTGGCTCAGCTCACTGGAAACCTCTTCAGAGCCTGCACCTTCCTTCTGCAACACAAGGATTTCCCCTCCCCTTGGACAGAGGGTTGTGGGGCGGAGAACAGATTATCACTTATCCTCTCTTTAATTAGTGTAACTAGAAAGTAAAATATTCCTGCAAGTCTACGAAGCTTTTACAAGGGTGAGTGGTGAGGGCACTGCAGAACTGCCTTATCTATCTTCCCTTCGTACATTGTTAAAGACTAATTTTGTGGGTTGTGATGCCAACTAAAGAAACACAGCTGGGGCTGGAGTCAATAACCCTCTATTCCCCAGACACATCCAGCTACCCACCCAGCCCTTCCTGCATCAGCCCAGCCCTCTGTCACTCAACCACTTCACCCCCTCCCAGGGTCGTTTGACACCATTAATTGCTTTCACTGTCTCTCCAAGTATTGTCTGGGTGGGGGGTTGCTTTATGCTTAAAAATCACAGACAGGCATATTTCCTTTCCCCAGGAAAAATCAGATGGGTACCAACACACAATTTAGAGTTACCAATCAGTCTAGAGATGTAACTACTAGTTAAAAAAAAACAACCACCAACAACCTGGGAACAGTGGTAGGTTACCTGAGTGGAAAAGCCTGGAAATCTGCTTGTTCTGCCATGAAAGCAAGGGACCATCAGAAAGATGGAAAAGAAAATACTGGTGATAATTTCTTCTCTTCCCAGAGAGCAGGGGGGAAAAAATTCCACTCTGTGTGGCTAAGCAAGGTCAGCAGAGTTACAAAATAAAGTCCTTCTGCCCCCCACCCATCCAGGCCCCTCACAGCTCTCCCCTGGAGCTGTGTACTCCCAGCCAAGAATACCAAAACCGAGCTGTTGCATAAGAGCCCTTGGGAGAACTTGCAGATGGAATGACAGGCAG